TTCCTATTTAGTATCTACAAGGCTGTATGATTTTCTTCCTTTTTTGTATCTGCAAGGCTGTATGGTTTTCTTCCTTTTTTGTATCTGCAAGGCTGTATGATTTTCTTCCTTTTTTGTATCTGCAAGGCTGTATGATTTTCTTCCTTTTTTGTATCTACAAGGTTGTATATATATGTACTACTTTGTCAATAGAAAGACATCAATTTCTTCTAATTCTTGTTCTATCACAATGCAAAACAAAACTTAAGTGGGTGTTAAGAATCCAGAATATTTCCACAAATAACAGAGTTACAAATGAAAACCTTCAAATTGGTCTTTCTTCAGTCTTATGTTGAGGACCATCAATTAATTTATGAAAAACATGTTGTTGACATAAGGCGTCTCAGTATGTGCAGCATGCCCCTTATGTTATTTAGTTTAACTGTGTAAGCTTCAAGGTTTGTTAAATCTCACCTTGAAATGAGCTTCAAAGAATAGGCTGCACATGCCTTTTAGACACAGTTCTGAAGATAATATTTGAGATATAATTATGTATCATGATACTGTTCCAAAATACAAGTGTATTATATATACATATTCATATTTGTATATATGAATATACATGTATATTTATTGGAACTGTCTAGCCTTGGAAAAGAATGTTATACTCCATATGCTTGTATACCTGTTTTTTGCTTACGTCCAGCATGTTGTCAAGTAGGTTCATTTCCTAATTTCTCTCTCCTAAACAGGTAGAAGCTACATCTCCTGTGGCAAGAGTCTTGCCCATGTCAATGCCATTTGGAGGAATTGGTAGTTTCTTGCACACTTGGTCCAGTTCCTAAGAAATTGTTTGCCTTTTCTTCTATTATCTGCTTCTGTATTATCATCTTTTTTCTTTTTACCACAATTTTCAAGATCTGGTTGAGCTGGCATTTGTTTTACCAAAAAAATATTGTGGTTTCTATGCCTTAGATAATGATAACGGAAAAGAATTGCCGAAGCTCTCTGTCCACCTCTTTCTTCATGCTAGTGGAAACATTGCTGCAAAGTTTCCTTATGACCCAGTATCATATCTTCTACTCCCATGAGTACTCTTTTTAATATATATGAGGTAGTTGTATATTGTTCATATATTTGAACATTATGTTATAATGTAATGCCAGGTCCTCATAAATGCTTTCCGCAAGATCCCAAAAGCTAGTTGGCATGGCAAAGAAAGGTTGTGTATTGCTTAATTATTTTATATGCAATCTGTATATGCACTTAAAAACCATTATGGGACTGCTGATGTCCCATTATGATTCTTATGTGACACCTTCAGATTATGGATGTTTCCACTGCCCTCTTTGTCATCAGCAGAAAAAGTTCTAGGTGAACTAGATGGTTCTAATATTCAGGTAATAACTTTTGTCTTTCATCATTTTCTTTTTGATTTGGTCTTGCTGCCACAGGGAAGCGGTAGGACAGTTGAATATGTTTTTTCTCTTATGAGTAACTGAGTAAAGAAATGGGGTGCTTCTTGTATATATTATTTCTTTTATTAATAAATTTCTGATAATCTTACCACTGAAAATACCTTTTTTTGTAAATATCTTTTTTATCCATAATCATCTGTTAAACCAGTGTTTTAAAGGTGCAAGGCGCAAAAAAAGCGCAGGGGTCAATTTGCGCCTGAGGCGCAAGGCGCAAGTCGCAAGGTGAGGTGCACGCCTTTTTGAAGCAAGGCACAAAAATACAAAAAAAAATGCTAAAAATAAAAAAGTTAGAAAATTCAAAAAAATGCCAAAAAATTCATAAAAATAAAAATATTAAACATAATATTAATAAAAAATATAAACTTAAAATTTAAAATAAATGTTTTAAAAAACCTATTATCTAAAAATAAAATACATGAACATAAGATGTAAAGCATATTCAAATGAGAATTTAAAATAAAATCAAACATATAAAACATTTTCAAGCATGTAAAACCTCTAATCTTTTTTTTCACTCAATTGCATTACTTCAAGTAGTTAATGTAATGTAAAACATATTACATTCCTGATTCTACGAGCCGCCTTTGTGCCTCGCTCCTTGAGGCAAGCCCAAACAAGTCCACGTTAGGTCTTAAATTCTTAGTTTTCACACAAAAAATAATGGTTTTATAGTTTTACTTGCTTTTTAAGAAGAAATTTTATTAAGATGAATGAATGAACAACATTGGGGCGTGGCATGGGGGTCCGGGGGTGGAGCCCCCGGCCCAGCCGCTATGTTCAAAAAAAGCAAAAAAAAATGTCAAATTTTCAAAAGGCGCACACCTGGGCTGAGGCGCAAGGCGCATCAGGCGCACACCCTTTTGAAGGAGCTGCGCCTAGGACCTAGGCAAGGTGCATACCCTAAAATGCGCCTCGCCTGTGTGCCTAGGTGCGTAAACTAGTCAACCATCTAGTCAATTGAGGGCCAGACTCACTGCATCACTAACTAGTTGGGCAATACTCATGATGCAATCACCTAGGAGTCTAGGACTAGTTGGTACCTAGGTACCAACTAATCATCACATTGGCTAGAGAGTCCAAAATGACTAGTTGCTTCACCACATTAATAACACTGATGTAATGAGATTTTGCTTTAAACTATGGTTAAATTTTATGATGCATTTTATACCTCTATTTTGCTTTGTGTTCTTAATTATGTAGTACTATCATAGGTGCTGACTGGTAGATAGAAAAAAAGATTTGCTCTAAATTGATAATAGCTTGCAAGATCTGATTTATGATATGTTGAAGTTCTTTCAACATCGGAAGAATGTTTACTCAGGCTATCTTTCTTACTTGCTCCTAGGTAGAGAAATTAGATCCTCTTGTACGACGTGCTATAGCTGCTGCCTTTGCTGTTCCAGATCTTCGAGGTAGGATTTAGTATGCATATTACTTGGTATAGTGAACCGATGTAGTTTAAATTCTTCAAACCAGGCAACCCATTGCAGACGTACTTATTCTAGGTCAAGGGATGACTGAAATACCATGGAGTTGGTTGATCATCTCGAATGGAATAATATAATTATTGAATGTATCCTGCTTTGAAGGTTTGGTTCATTGTAATTATCTAATAATGTAATTACATTATTGAATGGAATAATGTAATTATTGGATAATGTAATTATTTATTTAACTGATGTGGGCATGGGGATCCTTACTAAGTGTTGCCTATAGGTTATCGAGACTCCAGTTGGGTCATGAAAAATTTTCCATCCTTTTCTTGGTATGTTTGCATTTGCCTAGGATAGATGTCAGTTTGGGATGTTCACTTGTCATTAAGAAATGAATTCAAAGGGGCCTACTGATGGAGCATGCTGGGGTGTTGGATCTGTACCAACTACCAAATGGTTACCTATTTGTTGACACTTCATAGGCTCAAGCCTAAGTGATTTGCAATGCCATGTCTAAGTATCCACATCTGCAGGCCTACATTTGTAGTGCAATCCTGCTTTTGTTGGCCTTAAGTTGTAGTACAATCCTGCTTTTGTTGTTTTACTGTAGCAAGTGTGGCCCATTCGAGATGCCCAATCCTGCAGATCCTGTCCTGGGAAAGATTCCCAAGAGATATTTTGTGTGTTAATGTACTTCTATGATTTTATTTTATTAGATTGCTTCTCTTGCAAGTTAGGATTTTCTTTCCCTGTGAACTATATGTTTGTCTACTAATTGTCTTGTATAATTGTATTTTATTTTTGCCAAGTTCATGAAAGGTTATTCCATTTATTTTGCAACTCTGGATGTATCTTAGTTGGATACTGAAGTTGCTTTTTCCCGAAGAAGATTTATATGATAGGATGCCATGTTCAATTGAATCAAAGCTCCTACCTTTCCAGCGTGATGGAGTTAGGTATGTAGTAACATCACCTTTTGTGTTTGTACAAGTTAAATGTCTTTTATTTTGTGTTAGTCATTTTTTTTTTGTTTTGGTTTCCAGCGTTTGGATTATTCCAAGTTTTGATATATGGTTCTTTTCACCTGTTTTTATTAGATTTGTATTGCAGCATGGAGGACGTGCCCTCTTAGCAGATGAGATGGGTCTTGGGAAAACGTTACAGGTAATTATTTCATATTCTTGAACTTATTTTTCATATGTTTTGTTCTAATGCATAAAATTACTTATTTTTTAGGATCAATACTTATATGTGTGTTTTTGGGGTTAAAATTTTTGAGAGCCTGGGGAAGGGAAGAAAGATCACTTAGATGGGAAAAGGTGATGTAGTTGAAGGATGAAGGGGGTCTAGGTATCGGGAATATAAGGTCAAAGAATACGGATTTGTTGAATAAATGGCTTTGGAGATCCCCTAAAGAAAATGAGAAATTGTAGAATAGAGTCATACCAAGTATTCATGGACTGTCATACAATGGGTGGGATGCAGGCTGCTTGCACAGAGCTACTTTGGCTGCTCCTTTGAAGGGTATCCATGACATTCTTCCTGTATTCCTCACACACACCAGGTGTGACTTGGGCTTGGAAGGATACTTGGATAGGGGATTCCCCTTTATCTGTGGCCTTTCCTTCTATGCTTGAACTTTTCAACCTCAAAGGAAAACTTGTGTCTGAATTTGTCAGCTCCTCCCAATCAGGTCTGGATTGGAATTTGGGCCTTACTAGGAATCTTAGAGAGTCTGAAATTCCTTATATTGCTGCTTTGCTTAGCTTATTGAATTCAGTGGTCTTGGGGGATAGTGGTTTAGATTCTAGAGTGTGGGCCCTTATCATACTGGTTCATACTCTTGCAAGTCCTTGAACTCTCTTGTACACAACCCCTGCTTTTCTTCTTTCCCGATGAAGGAAATATGGTTTCGACCCATTCCTCCTAAAATCAGTGCTTTCTGTTGGGAAGTGTTTCATGGCTCCATTAATACTTGTGATTTGCTTCAAAGGAAAAGACTACGCTGGTGTTTGTCCCCAAGTTGGTGAGACTGCTCTTCACCTCTTAGTTTCCTGTCCTTTTTCTCTGGGAGTGGTTTTCTTCTCATTTTGGTTGCAAATGGCTCCCCTTGATAGCTTGGAGGGACTATTTAGCTTCCTTCTTTTATGTGCTCTAAAAGAAGAGGTAGGATTTTGGGGAGATGCACTAGAGCAGTGGTGGTTTGGACACATTGGGTTTGGGAAGAAGGGAATCTAAGAATCTTTGAAGACAGGGAAAGAAGTCAGGAAGCTGTGATAGAGGTAATATCTTTAAGGGTGGCTCATTGGGTGAAAACTTTAAAGCTCTTTGTAGACTTTAAGTTGAAGACTTTCTCAATTCGTGGGGTTCAATTGTTGCTTCATCCTCCAGAAAACAAAGAATAATAGAGGCCTGGTCACTCCCATGTGTTGGGTGGAAGAAATTGAATTTTGATGGTAGCTATATTGGCAATCCTGGTCCATCGGGTATTTGTGGGGTAATTAGAGAAGAAAATGGAAACATCCCAGAATTGTTTTCAGGTCCTGTTCAGCAAGGTGATGCGGTGAGATCAGAACTATTGACAGCAGTTTATGGGGTGGAGAAGGCTAAAGAAATGTGGATCGAGAGACTAATCATTGAAGGGGATTCAAAAAAAATTGTGGGCTGGCTGAAAACGGAGGGAGGGGTAGTTTGGCAGCTAAGGAATGAATTCAGGTGCTTCAAACAGCTTTCTAGAGATATGCTCATCCAATTWAGATGGATTAGAAGATCTGCAAACAGCATGGCAGATGACCTAGCTAAACAAGGAATTCAGAGGCAATCCATGTTTTGGTCACATTTGTAACTTTGGGATGGCTTTTTGGGTTTGCTGTTTTTTTTTTTTTTCACAACCTCTTGTTGTATCTTTCTATTCTAAATTAATGAATCAATTTTTCTGTTGCTGATAAAAAAAGAGTTCAAGTGATCTATACTACATATGATGATTTAAAAGTTATGATTGTTATAAGATCTACTGGTACCTAGAATTTGAAATGAATATATGAGATTAAAACTCATTTCATAAGTTTGGGTAAAAGAATCAATTTGCCACCTTTTTCAGTGCATGTTGACCCATTGAGTTAGGACAAGGCTTAGTTGAATTTAGTTGTTTATTTATTTTTGATAATAAAAGCAAAAATTCATTAAAAGAAAAAAGAGAATACAAGCGGAAGGTGATGAGAAATCATCTTAAAGAAGAGAAAAGCCCCCAACAACATAAACAATTAACTCAATGCCAACAAGAACCCCAACCCAAGTAAAACAACAAGAGCAAACGAAAGAAGAGGGGTCAGGTGGACTTCCCCTTTTGTTCTCTCTATTTGGGTTCGGTTCTTTCGCCATTTGGATGTAGGTGGACTTCCCTGTTGGATATACAAAGCTTATTTGCTTCCTTTTCCGTCATGTAGCCAAAGAAGAGGGGTCGGATTTTGTGGAGATGCGCTAGAGCGGCTGTCTGTTGGACAATATGGGAAGAAAGAAATCTGAGAATATTCTTGGAAAAAGGGAGAAGCAGGGAAGCATTAATTGAAGTTATTACTATCAGAGTGGTGCAGTGGGTGAAATCCTTGGAAAGCTTTGAGGATATTTCTACAGATGCTTTACTTGGCAATTCAAAGGTAGTGGCTGACTCAGGCCCCACTAAGGCTGAAATCAGGCCTCTTTGGTCCCCACCTGCTGAAGTTTTTATTAAGCTGAATTTTGATGGGGGGTAGTGAAGGTATCCCGGGTGCTTCAGGTATTGGAAGTGTCTTCAGAGATGAAGAAGGAAAAGTTGTTGCATTATTCTCAGGACCAATTCACTCATGTGACTCTCTTAGGGATGTTGTGGAAGAAGCACAAAGGGCAAAAGAGCTAAATATTAGTAGACTGGTTGTTGAAGGCGATTCTTAGTTGGTGATTAATTGGATACAAAAACTGGAATCTGGGTTCTGGATTTATTTAAATGAAAAAGAAGGTTTAAATGACACACTCAGAATATGGAAGTGAGATTTCAGTGGGTAAAGAGAAGTGCTAACTCCTTTGCTGATGTACTTGCTAAACAAGGGGTGGGAAGGGGGTAACTTGGTTTGGGCAGTGTTTTTTTTTTTTTGTTGGGGAGGGTTAAGGGAGCTTATCCCTCCCCTTTTCTCTCGTATCTTCTAATTATTTTTTAATGAAATTGTGTTGTTATTGATCAAAAAAATAATACTCAGGCCACCCCATATGGTTGGAACAAGGCTTGGATGATGATTACAATTACATAGTATCCTAGCCAAATAAAGAATAAAAGAGTGAACTGATGATTGCAGTTACATAGCATACTTGAAGCCTTTTAAAACCTGCTAGGGCAGGTTTGTTTTGGTTATGTATTTTTGGCTGGTGGGGCTCAACTGGTGTGGTTTTAGTGGAGGGCTCTGGTGGGGGTTGTGGTACTTGGCTTTTCTTGTTTTTTTTTTTTTTTTTGCTGTTTTGTACTGGTCAAGGTGTGTCGGCAGAATTTTTGAATGCTGTATCTTCAGAATTGTTTCAATCATCTAGAGGTTTAAGGCAGGGGGACCCTATCTCCCAATTCCTCTGTGTTAGTCATGGAAGTGTTGAATCTGTTGCTGGAAAAAAGTTTGCAGTTGGGGTTGATTGAAGGATTTAGGGTGGGGGTGGAGGGGCCTATCATTTCCAATTTACAATATGCCGACAATACCCTCATATTTTTGGATGACTCAGGCTGCGTTTGGTGCATCATTCCGTGTGTTCTTTCGGCTGTTTACAAGCCGGGAAGACTGATTTTTGGTCTATTTCCATTTGGCACGTGGAAGATCTAGCCGCCAAAAGACAGAATGCCGAAAAGATGTGAAAAGCCCATTTTGGGCTGATTTCGGGAAGCTCCAAATGAAGCTTCTTGCGTCTTTTGCGTTTTATTCTCACACGGAAAGACGCGGAAAGGCACACACCTGCCAAATGTGCTTTGGGCTGCTCAGATCTTCATGCAAAAGCTCAACGCGTCTTTTGACTGTCAGAGCTACCAGAAGATCTTCCCAAAAAGACGCTCCAAACGGACCCTCAGTAAATCAGGCATTGAATCTGAGGGCAATTCTTGCTAACTTCAAGCTGTTTACAGGGTTTGAAAATTAATCAATCTGAGAGTGTTCTGATAGGGGTTGGAGAAATAAGGAGAGAGGTACTGTTGGAGTGTGCTGAAGCATCTAAGTGCAGAACCGGACAACTACTTTTCATATTTGGGATTGCCTGTTGGAGGTTATTCTTCTTCCATAACATTATGGAAGTCAGTTATTGATAGAGTAGAGAAGAGGGTGGGCAGGTGGAAAGCAAGATATCTATCCTTTGGGGGTAGAATCACCCTTATAAAAAGTGTGTTATCAAGTCTGCCTACATATTATCTATCACTGTTGAGGGTTCCAGAAAAAAAATTGTAGTGAGATTGGAAAAGATTTAGAGGGATTTTCTATGGGATGGGGTGGGGGTGGGAGGGGTAGAAAGCTCCATCTGGTTAAGTGATATAAGGTGTGTAGACCTAAGTTAGCTCCATCTGGTTAAATGATATAAGGTATGTAGACCTAAAGAATGAGGGGGTTTGGGGTTGAAGAGGGTGAGACTTTTTAACAAAGCTTTACTTGGGAAATGGTTATGGAGATTTGGGTTGAGTAGGGAGGAAGCCTCTCTATGGAGGAGGGTGGTGGTTAAGTATGGAGTAATGAGGTTTGGGTGGGAATAAAGGGAAGTTAGCTCTTCATATGGGGTGAGTTTATGAACTATGGAAAGGAATTATGAACTTCAATCAGGAGTTCGGAAATGTAACGAGCTTTTCAGTCAGGGATGGAGCTAGAATAAGAATTTGGGAGGATAATTGGAGTGGAGTGGGAAGATTGTGTGAGGTATGCCTGAGACTGTTCACTGTTCAGGTTGTCTGCACTGGAAGTATTCTAAGCTGCTATGAAAGAATTGGGGAAAAGATTGTGTGGTGTCCAAGATTCTGAAGACCACTCTTGGATTGGGAGATAGAAGAGTGTTTAAATCTGTTGGAGAAGCTGCAAAAGGTGAAGATATTAGCTCAGTCCAAGGATGAATTATGGTGGAAAGAGTGTTCAAATGGAAAGTTTACTGTTAAATCCTGCTATTCAGATTTGTGC